GGGTTAAAAGATAATGGGCCCCATGAGTCCCTTTGCTTGGGGTAAATCAGGGGACTTGGGATTCTGGGAACTTCACATGAGCTATAGTCTCAACTCCTTAAAGGGGGGTTATATAGGGGATTATATAGGGTTTGGGGTTTAAACTCCTTAAAGGGGGGTTATATAGGGGACTACTATTAAGGGGGATATTAAGGGCGTTTAGACTATAGCTCACATGAGGGTTGTCCGAAAGCCCTTGTCTACAATTTTAGATCAACGCAAACCAAGTGTAACGTAATTTGTCAGAAACCCTCCATGCGCAAGCACGGCGCAAGGTTGGCGCAAGGGTTCGAACATGCTCACGGTATTATTAGTATTGTCATTATTGCTTACTAGTTTTAGTGTGATGAGCCTGCACGAACACCATTGTGAGCCAAACTGTGCGCGCGCAAGCACGGCGCAAGCCCCCAAATCAGGATGAAGGAATATTGGACAACCCCCACATGCTGGGAGGCCTCAAGGATTCCTAGCTTTTTCCTTTCTGATTGCATTTCTTCATGGCTTTTTGTCCTACACTTCTATGCTTGCGTAAGCTGGAGATTGCGGAGAGATTCGCCAGGCTCCTGCCTTCTTCACATACAGTTTTGCTTCTGAGTGAGACCCACAGTGGTCTCAGGGCCCATAGAGCACGTTTCAGCCAAATTCTCACCAAACTCACTGGGTAGGAAAAGACTTCCCATAATGCCAGTGCAGTATAGTTGCCTTTAAGTAGATAGAATATATCGTTGAGTAGAAAACAGTAAGATCCCCGTATACCCAGTTTTCTATTACTTAAAGAGAGCTATAGCTACTAGTCGGCCTGTATCGTCCTGTTTTGTATCCACTGTTTTGAAGCAAATTCGAAACGAGTCTTTGGCAGGTGGACCGAAGCTAATTAATTTTTCTTTTAGGTGTTAGGGTTCAGGGAAAGCCTAAAACCCCAAACCCAAGTGGCAGTCTGACTACTGAGGACTAAAAAGTCCCTCCCCCAAAAAACAAAGCACCACCCAGCTAATTTATCTCCTGACGAATTCAGCACCGATGGCCTTTGATGCTGGTGTTGCATGGCCTGGGTACCTGGGAAAGCCAACTCCGTCCTCGGAGCTGGCTTTGAAGCCATTCCGCTGAATGTCTGGCCTCCTTTATAGCATTGTCTAAGTCGTCTTGCAGGTCTATTTGCAGGGGTAGATTGCGACGGGGATTGATAATTTTGGTTCCATCTTCTTCCAATAACCAGTGCGATATAGATATTGTATATACCCTAAACACTAAACCCTAAACCCATAGAGGTTCAGAGTAATGGGATGATGAGGCGGATCCCGAAAACATGCGAAAAGCCCAGGAGCCCAGAGGTTTCGCAGCCAATTCGCTCGATCTTGAGCTTGGCTTTTACGGCAGCACTTGGCTGCTTTAGGATGTCTAGACTCTCCACTGCAATTCCTTGTTGGCAGCCAGAAAACCCCACAAACCCGAAATCATATGAAGTCCCGAAAAGAAATTACACTGGAGGGTCGAGGCGAACAGCAATGGTGTCAAGCCGCTGCTCTTCGTGGCGAGTTTTCCTTCAGCTTGGCAATTCATTTTCAAGGCACTGTGCAGTGCCGCCATGCGAAGACTGTCATTGGACAGGACCGCGTGGTGCTTCTTAGACCTCTGCGGATTTTGCCGTCCTCGGGGGCAAAAACGATTCCTGCAGGTTGGACATGGATCTTCGTCTTCGTGACATCCTGAGCTACTGGTTCCTAATGAAGCTGAGTCTCACACAAGCAGAGGCAAAGACTTGCTTAGACGGAACCTGACCATCCAGGCTTCGGACCCCCTTCCTGGAATTCAGAGATGTGACTAGCACATCCGACCCAAGCTTCCGTGAACTTACCTTTGGTTTCTTGTGTATGCCGCAATTCCTCTCAAGCTTCAGGCGGGCCATGTGCACTTGGGACTGTGTGACACTGCCAGCCTAAGTACCATTGCTATCGTTATCTCGTTCACTCCTGGACCTCACTGCGTCATGTCCAACATGTTGGTCTTGAGAGTTGATCAAAAGTACCAGCACGTGAACAGGGGTTACATTGGATTATATAGGAGTCGTATAGGGATAATGGAAAAGAAAATGGAAACTACTACATTCTTATAGCTGCACTTGTCAACTGCCATGCCATCCACAAGCTGATGCATCATACATTCCCCTATGTCGCAGCTACCAGACATCACGCCATAGGGCCCCTCATTCCCTGAGTACATATGGACGCTTGTCAAAATTATGGTCCCTTTTTGGGTCCCTATTATAATGCGGGGCCTAATTTAGGGGACCCAAAAAGGGACCATCATTTTGACAATCCCCCATATAGACCCACATGAACCATAATCTAAACTCCTTAAATAGGGGATTATAAAGGGGATTACTGCTGGGGCTTCTTAAGGGGGATACTGAGAGTTTAGACTATGACGCACATGGCCTGTGCCTGAGTTACAGTCGGACCCCACCCACCCAGAACATGCGGCAGACGCGCAAGCCTGCCAGGCAAATAGGCCGAACCCAGGCGCCAACCTCTGGAGCAAGCAAGCAGATTTGGGGGTTTCCCAAAAATAGGGGTACCTACTATAATGGAGAATCAAATGGAAAAGAAAATGGAAAATGAAATGGAAACTGGGATTATGTAGGGAATTATATAGGGTTTAGGGTTTCCCAAAAATAGGGGTACCTTTTTAGGGATCCCTATAATAAGGGCTATAGTATTCTGGGGTCTATATTGGGGTCCCCTTATTTTGGCAAACTACCATTTTTCCCATGAAGGAAGTAGAGTGTATCAGATGTGCTCACGAGGAGCCTGCTTGATGAATGGAGGCGGCGAGCCGCGAAATCTTTACGTCTGGATCCATCGAATCTGGGCTCCATGTCTATGAATAGTACCTACATTAGCCCTAAACCCTAAAGGCCCCAAAGTCTATAGATATGACCTACATTGAACCTTTGCCTGTACAGCGGCCCCGACTTTTCCCGGTCCAGGATCGTTGAACGCTATCTGCAAGTCGACGGCAGCCAGGCACTCAGAACTCGCGGGCAGCAGCTCCGAAGAACTCCAAGCGCCAGTATTATCATTACTAGTAATATTATTGCTATTATCATCATGATTGCTATTATTATTGTTATTATTACTATATTATTACTATATATGATTACTATATTATTACTAGTGTAGGTGCAAGTGCTCCGAACTGGAGGTGACGGGTGACTTGCCCTGCCGTGGCCGCGTCTGAGAAGTGCAGGTTCGAGACCCAAAGACACTGGCACAGGTGGCTCACTGGGTTTAGGGTTTAAGGGTACTCTAAACCCCTAAACCCTACACCCTAAACCCCTAGACCCATGAACCCCTCAACCCTAAGCCTTAGACCAGACGCCCAATTTGCTGACGCAGAAGTACCTCGTGCCGACCCTGCCAAGGCTTAGGGCCTGTGCCGGCTACGTGTCGGACATGTTTTACGAGGAGATTGCTGGCAGCAAGGGCCTTGTGGTTGGTTTTACTATCTTAATTTTAATGACAATAGTATTAATAGCAATGAAAATAATGATAAAAACATAGTAATAGTAATAATGGAAAAGAAAACAGACCCTATTTGTATGATTTTAGTCACCTAGTTTCAAGCTTGCGGGGCCAAGGCGCTTGTTGCAGAGCATGTCCGTGGACGCTGCAAAGGGCAACAAATGCGGAGACTTAGATGCCTTCAGAGACATGGCAGGCCGTATGGATGCTAGCTACTAGATCCCTAGATCTTAATATAGGGGCCCAAATACTTACCAATATTATGGTTGCATATTCCTTGCATACTTATAGTATATGTTACCTCAAATGTTACCTCAAATGGACTTCAACAATATATTGGTAATTATTTAGGCCCCTATATTAGACATATTCGCGAATGCCGGCAGCCTTTTCAGGCAGCTTCAAATCTGCCAGTTGTTTGTGTGTGTGTACTGGAAGCATGTCCCATCAATCTTAGGTCCTTGCGCCAGCTCATCACTTGAAGCTTGACCCCTTTTTTTGGCGCAGGCTGGGTGGCTTTGCCCAGATTTTCCTCTCAAAATCACGTACTCACCGACTAGCCGGACGTCATTTTTAAGTCTATAGTCCTTGCGACCGTTTATCCTTACCGTGAAGAGTCTTGTGCAGAACACGTTCATGGTGGCAGTAGTGTCAGAGCTGGGCGATGGATCAGTAGCGAATCCTATATAAGCCTATAAGCCCTAAACACCCTAGACCCTATTCCTACACCCTACACCTGAAAGCAGAAAACAGGCTACATGGTAGTTTGCCGAAAGTGGGAGACCCCAATATAGATCCCAAAATGTTAAAAACCTTATTATGGGGGCCCCCCAAAACGTACCATAATTTCAGGAAACTCCCAGATGCCTAGAGCATAACCTTTGGGTTCTTGAGGAACAACATTTTACATGTCTATGTATACCTGGGTCCAATATAGATTAATTATGATCAAATATCAAAGACTTTAAGTTTGTACCCTTAATGTTTGTAACCCTAAGCTTTGGTTCCCAAATACCCTTACTAAGGACCATATTCCATGGTTTAGGGACCCAAAACCTGGGCTACAAACCCTGAGGGTACAAAGGAAAATCGCCTGATAATAGTAGTTCAACAACCCAGATACCATCTCATGACTTTTGGTACCAAGCGCTTCGGCCGTGACAAGCACAGCCGACATCAACCCTACAGACCGGCAAAGAACAGCATTGTGGGGTTTCTTAAAATTAGGGGTAGCCTCTTGGGGACCTTATTAAAAAGGACTATCGTGTTTTTGCGTTCGTATTTGGGTCCGGCTATTCAGGTAAACTGCAATGTCAATGAAGTTCAAGTGCTTAAGGTTTCACAGCCGTTTGGGATCCAAAAACGTTTGCCACGAGTTTCTTTGCCCAAAGCCTTCTGCACATGCGTCTTAATGAGGTCGAAAGCAAACGAGAAAAAAAGATGCCAAAGGACTCGATAAAGGTCTATATCAAATGGGCGAAGGAAACGGCAGAGCTGTTCCAGGATTTGGAGATCAATTGGTCAGAGAAGGAGCTGGTGAAGATACAGTGTCCAGAGAGTCCAGACGCACCCATCACAATCGATGACATGTCCACCTGGATAGAGTCGCGCGTGGAAAGTATGTATGAGACTGCGACGCAGGGGATGGACAAAATCATGGTCCAAGTCCAGTGGATTGCCACAGCCAGCAGCCCCGAGATTGAGATTCAGCTGGATTAGTACCTTCGCTTGTCGATGCTCCCTGATCGTTGTGAGGGATAGTCATAGCTCGCTTGAGACATGAGGGGTTGAAGAGTTTGTGCTCTAAAAGTTGTTAGGGAAAGAACTAATCATAGGGATGATGCAAGCAACGAGGCGCTGAATTGGAATGATGCAGTCCATGAGCATTTCAAAGATGAGGACCTGGTTGTGGTCGAATGTCAGGCAATGTCAGAAAGTGGAGAAGAAGAAACAGGGCCCAACTACACTAAGCAGAACTTGAAGGACATCCGAAAGACCCTACGCTTCAGCTTAAGCGACCGTGTGATATGCAACTGTGGACCGCTTTGGCTTCCCGGTTCTGTGGTCGGCACCGCTGTGGAGTCTGATGGTGAGCTCTTCCCGTACCTTGTCAAGACAGACCCGATACCAGGGATGCCTTCTAGAACCTGGGTTGGCCTTTGGGATCCTTTCACATTTTCCCTAATTGGTTTCATAAGGACCCTATATACTAATATTTTTTCACAAAGGGTTCCAAAGGCCAACCAAGGAACTATCTCTGTTCCAAGTGACAGCGGCCAGGTCTGTGTCCAGGAGGCATGGGGCGGACAGGGTTTCTAATGGCAACAGCGCTGAAACTTGAAGGGCTGCGTGGCGTACCTTGACCCCTCCGTTTTCCAAATTGATGGTCCCCCTTCAGTAAATAGAATATGGCTTTGAGTAGATTTATAGTAAGATCCCATACACCCCAAATTCTATTCTATCCACTAAAGGGGGACTAGAAGCCCTATCGCAGATGCAGCCTGTGCTGTGAATATCTTAACCTACATTGTCAAGGGGATTTACGAATGCCGAAAAAGCGCGCGGGTCAAGGCATGCAGCCGAACCACGTGAAGTTATAGGACGAAAGTTCTAATCCATGAGTCGGGCGCAGGCTGAATGCTGTGCTTCTGAAGCTCTTGCACCCCGCGTTGTTTGTCCGCTACTTCCCCAGCTTCCATTTCATTTTCCATTTGATTCTCCATTATAGGGGGATACTATACCCTAAACCCATTTATTGGCCCTGCCCTGAAGGTGTGCTTTGAGCTCCTGTTCCTCGTGAAGAGCGCCGCTCTCGGCCGCATGACAAGCTCGAGGCCAAAACTCCGGTTTGCTGAGGGCGAGAGGGTGGCCGTCCGCGTCAGGAATTCAAATGATGGATTGGAATGCTGGTGTTCTGGGCGTGTGGCGGCTCTGTGGCCACAATTGCCTGGGGAGAGCAAATGGGATATTGATGGCATTACCGGCGAGTTCCCCAAAGAAGTACCATACAGGGTGGACCTTCTTGCGGGCCCGGCGAATTGGATCTTTGTGCATTGGGACAACCACACACTCATCCGTCGCGAGGGCCTTCAGCCACAAACCAGGGTGAAGGGCATCAGCAAGCGCTTGGAGATACGAAGACGCGATGACGGAACCATGGAGCAAGTCGATCACCTGACCGAGCATCGTAAGCCAGTTTCCAAGATCAACGCGGACATGGACATGTCGGATTCCGATTCGGACCAGGATTGAATTCACCATAACAGAGTGCAGCCTGAGATTGTGTATTGTATCCTCTAGCAAAACCCCATAGTAGGGCCCTATCATATTCCTATTATACCACTATTACAAGGTGGCGGGGTCCTCCTACTGTATCCTTTTCCTGAATTCATCTGTCCAACAGGGCCAGACAATCGAGGGGGGTGGTGTTCACTCAGCGTGCAAGGCATGCCTTGCGCCTCCAACCGAGGTTAGTGCACAAGGAGTGGAAGCTGATTCTAAAACCGTGGAGTGCCTGTTGTACAGAAATAATATGGAAACTACTATAGTATATTGGGATTATGTTGGGATAATGGAAAATAAAATGGAAAGTACTACAACGGGAATCAGGGTTATACTACCGCAGCAGCAGTAGCTGTGGCTGTTGCCATCTGGTTCTATATATTGGGATCAAAATGGACAAGAAAATGAAGACTACCATCATGGGTTATATAGGGATTATGGGGAATACATTGGGGTTACATTGGGTAATGAAAAATGAAAATGGAAACTACTATATTATAGGTACAGCTAAGTGCTCGCTTCCATGGAGATGGCACTGGAAGTGCCGGATCCTAAGAAAACTGTCAGCCTGCGACGCGATTAAAGAGGAATTGATTAGGAGGACCCCCCCACCCTGTAATAGTGGTATAATAGGAATATAAGAGGACCCTAATACAATCCTTATTATCCATAATAGTCACTATTACTGGGTGGAGGGGTTCACCTAAGGAATTAATGACTTGTATGTTCTGTTACCCTCCTGGAAACTAACATGGAAGCACCAAAAAGGGCCGGGGGGCTATATGGGTTTCCATGTTAGTTTGGGGGACATGTTAGTTTGGGGGACTGGAAATTTTCAAGTAATGCCGGCAATCTCTCATCCTTCCTGCGCTCGTGGCCCCGCAGCTCTCCCGCGATTGCCTGAAAACTTCGGAATGGCCAGCCCGTATATTGCCAATCTAGTTAAGATGTCTGAGAGGCAAGCGGGGGTATATAGGGGTTCTATTGGGATAATGGAAAAGAAAACGGAAACTACACTTTAGGGTTTAGGGTTTGAGGGTCTAGGGTAAGGATCGCGAGCAATGTCATCAAATTCGTGTCCAGTACCATGAAGTCCGTGGGCGGCATATAGGGCCGGAGCATGCCAGCTTCGATCTTGAGGGAAGCGGGGGAAAACGCTACTCCTCATGTTGATATAGTACTGTAGTCCTAGAGTTTAGGAGGACCCCCCCACCCCTGTAATAGTGGTATAATACACCCATTCAATAAATATGTTCTTATATAATCCCCTATATACCCCCAATATATAGTAGTTTCCATTTTATTTTCCATTATCCCTATATAACCCCCAATATAAACCCAATATAATCCCCTATATAACACTTCGAGTGTTCTAAGTTCTGCTTGTTTCAGCCATAGGCTGGTCCTCCGCTAGAGCTCCTGTGTGCAGATAGCCTATAGTCCCCCTTAAATAGACAGAATTTCGGGTATATGGGGATCTTATTATGAATCTTAGGGTTTAGGGTTTAGGGTTACAGTTCCAGATTCAAAAGGGTTTAGGGTTATTATGAATTTAGGGAATTACATATTCTATCTACTCAACTACTTAAGGAGGGCTATAATCCTCCAGGCCCTGAGGAACGGCTTCTTGAGTTCAAAGGTTGAGGGGCCACAGCCGTTTGGGTTCCAAAAGCGTCTGCCACCTGAACCTGCTTCTTTGCCCGAGCCTTCTGCACATGAATATCGATGAGGTCGAAAGCAAACGACAAAAAAGGATGCCGCCAGACTCCATCAAGGTCTACATCAAATGGTCGGAGGACACAGCAGAGCTTTTCGAGTATTTGAAGATCAATTGGTCAGAGAAGGAGTTGGTGAAGATACAAGGTCCAGACGCACCCATCACAATAGATGACATGTCCAACTGGATCGAGTCGCGCGTGGAAGATATGTATGAGACCGCGAACCAGGGAATGGATAAAATCATGGTCCAAGTCCAGTGGATCGCCACAGCCAGCAGACCCAAAATGGAGATTCGGCTGGGTTAGTACAGAGCAGATTGCTGCGTTAGGATGACTTCTGCGCTTCAGGGGGTCCGGAATTCGGGCAAAGGCTGCTTGCGTAATCTATTGTTAGCTTGTCGATGCTGCCTTATTGGGTGAGGGATAGTGATAGCTCAGTTGAGACATGAGGGGGTACAGAGCTTGGGCCCTCAAAGTTAGAGGGAAAGAGCTAATTATAAGGATGATGCAAGCACCGAGGCGCTGAAGTGGAATGATGCCGCCCATGAGCATTTCAAAGACGAGGACCTGGTTGTGGTCGGATGCCATGCAATCTCAGAACGCTGGGCAGAAAAAGAGCCCGGCTACACCAAGCAGAATTTGAAGGAGATCCGAAAGACTCTACGTTTCGGCTTGAGCGACCGTGTGCTTTGCAACTGTGGAGGGCTATGGCTTCCCGGTTCTGTGGTCGGCACAGCTGTGGAGTCCGATGGTGAGATCTTCCCGTACGTTGTCAAGACAGACCCGATACCAGGGATGCCTTCTAGTACCTGGGTCGGCCTTTGGGATACTTAAATATTTTTTCTAGTTGGTTTCATAAGGACGCTATATACTAATGTTTTTCAAAGGGTTCCAAATGCCGTTGGCAAGGAACTATCTCTGTTCCAAGCGACAACAACAAGGTCTGTGTCCAGGAGGCCTGGGGCGGATAGGTTTCTAACGACATGAGCGCTGGAACGTGAAGTTAGGGTGCGCGCAAAACCCTAATATTTAGCTTATTACATATAGTAGTTTCCATGTTCTTTTCCATTATCCCAGTATACACCCCATATACCCGCAATATAACCCCTGAAAAACCAATTCCAAGTTGTGAGTCTGGCAGTTGACGCGCCATGTCGCAAACAATTCTCGGATAATGGAAAAGAAAATGGAAACGACTATAATGAGTTATCTAGGATTATAGGGGTTCTATTGGGGTTCTATGGGGATAATGGAAAAGGAAATGGAAACTGCCATGCTCTCTCTCTCTCTCTCTTTCTCTAAGTCCAGCAGTGCAGCCGTCAGTGCAGCACAAACTCCGGAGGTAACCTGCCGCAAGAAATTCACACGCCAGTCAGAGCACGGATTTTGAGCACCCATCTACCTGGAATCTGCTTGTTACGGAAACTTTCATAGGCGCAATTACACGCCATGAGCAGCTTGTCTCACTTGCAACTTCATGTCAGAATCAGTTTCAGCAGCTAAAATCAAATGATTGCAGAACACAGAATTAAGTAAGGTGTGGGAGTGATGATTGGGGCTATCCTATAGGGTGGTCTCATTGGTATGCCGTGTTTCTGAAGCTGTCACCCCGTGTATCCCCGTGCTTTTTCTGCCTATTGGCTCTGCCTAAACCCTAAACCCATTTCCCCCCCCCCAAACCTTAAACAGTAGTTTCCATTTTCTTTTCCATTATCCCTATATATCCCCTATATAACTCCTATATAACCCTATTATAATAGTTTCCATTTTCTTTTCCATTATCCCTATATATCCCCTATATATCCCCTATATTACCCTAATATTACCCCCATTTATGGGCCCTGCCGTCGAGGTGTGCTTCGACCTCCTTTCCGAGCTGTTCCTCGTGAAGTGCGCCGCTCTTGGCCGCATGACAAGCTCGAGGCCAAAACTCCGGTTTGCTGAGGGCGAGACTGGGTTGCTGTTAAGGAACTTAAATTAAGTTACTATACTGGGAAACCCTATTATTTACTATATATACCCATTATGGTAACTTAATGTAAGTTCCTTAACAGCAACCCAGGAGAGGGTGGTCGTCCGCATCAGGAATTCAAATGATGGATTGGAATGCTGGTGTTCTGGGCGTGTGGCGGCTCTGTGGCCGCAGTTGCCTGGGGAGAGACAGTGGGATATTGATGACATTACCGGCGAGTTCCCCAAAGAAGTGCCCTACAGGGTTGACCTTGTTGCGGGCCCGCCAAATTGGATCTTTGTGCATTGGGACAGCCACACACTCATCCGTCGCGAGGGCTTTCAGCCACAGACCAGGGTGAAGGGTATCAGCAAGCGCTTGGAGATACGAAGACGAGATGACGGAACCATGGAGCAGGTCGATCACCTGACCGAGCGGCGCAAGCCAGTTTCCCAGATCAACGCGGACGTAGACATGTCTGATTCCGATTCGGACCAGGATTGAATTCACTATAACTATATATGAGAGTGCAACGAAATATTTTACTGCATCCTTTGCTGTACTGATTTGCCCCAGCAGGGCTAGCCAATCGAGGGGTGTGCGTTCACGCAGCACGCAAGGCATGCCTTGTGCCACCGCAGAGGTCAATGCGCAAGTAGTGGAAGCTGATTCTAAAAACCGTGGAGTGCCCTTTGTACAGCTCCGTGCTCCCTTCCGCGGAGGGTTCGCACGGCAATGTCAGATCCGTTGAGTCCCGTCGCAAGAAGCCAGAAAATCTCAGCCCGCACAGCTGGTAGAGACGAAATGCTGGCAGGAACTTGTAAAGTAATGCTCATGATCGCGCATTTTTCGCCAGTGCATGACTTCCCGCATTTCTCCCCAATTCTGTCCTCTGAATTTCTTCGGGCGGCAAGGGAGAGTGGGGAAGTGATCCCTGTATGATCCCCGTGACACATACAGCTATAATTACTCCTATACTGGTACCCCCTAAACCCTCAACCCTAAACCCTTCATACATACCCCTATACTCCTATACTGGTACTTGTGTTCACTCCCTCACTCCCTGTAAAGCACCAGTAGGTGAAGCTATGAGGTAGGGCCTCACCATGAAATCCTTGTGCACCATCAAGGGAGATCCAACCCTAAACCTTAAACCCGAAACCCTAACCCCAAACCCTAAACCCATGGCTGCACAGGTTTATTTGACCATTGGGGCGAGCTGGCCGCAATGCAGAAGGCTTTTGAGGACCCCATGGATTTTCCAGAGGCGGACAATGCACCGGACTGCATATATGAGCTACAATCTAAACTCCTTCAAGGGGGTTATATAGGGGATTAGATAGGGGACTTCTGCAGGGGTTACCAAGGGGGATACTAGGAGTTTAGACTACAGCTCATATGAGATAAGCGTGCCGTCGCACAGGTGCAGCCTCATCTGTGTGTCATAGTGCTGGTATCACGGTTACTATCACTATTACTAGTACTATTACTACTACTATTACTATTACTATGACTATTGCTAATACTATGAGTATGTGCGAGAATCTTACCTAGGCAGGCAGGCTGCCACCACACGTTTGCATTTACATGTTACATTGATGCCCCTGTTGCACAGGTGGTTTAAGGTTTAGGGTTTAAGGTTTAGGGCTTAGGGTTTATGGGGCCCAGGAGAAGCCCCCAACAGAAAGTAACCTGGTCAACAGCCTCTTGTGCACCAGGCTTGTTGCGTGTTCATTCTCCACGAGTGTCTATATTGGGGTTATATAGGGGGTTATATAGGGATAATTGAAAAGACAATGGAAACTACTATGTTATAATAGGGTATATATGAGCTGTAGTCTAAACTCCTTGTATCCTCTTTAATAAACCCCTAGGATAATCTCCTCTATACTCCCTATACGGGGGACTATATGCCCAAGGCAAGAACACTTCAGATTCATTTGTCCATCCCTTCCTTTCCTAACAAAAGGCAGCACATTCCTTCGGAAGTTTGTTGCGCCCACCCTCCACGCAGCACTCTATGCAAACCCTCAAAACCTTCAAACCCTAGACCTTAAACCTCAAATAACACCATTATAGTAGCTTCCATTTTCTTTTCCGTTATCCCTATATAACCCCTAGACCGTAAACCTTAAACCCTGACTCTGATAGATGGAAGGCATGTGGAGTCTCGCATCAGCATGACTCGCGAGCTGAGTTTGGCAACCGATGCTCTGGGATGCTGCAAGCCATGTGAGCTGTAGTCTCAACTCCTTAAAGGGGGGTTGCATAGGGGATTATGGTTATGTAGGGGGATATTTTGGGGGTTACTAAAGGGGATACTAGAAGTTTAGACCCAAAACCCTAAACCCTATGTTGTGGGGGTTATTAAGGGGGATACTAGGAGTTAAGACTACAGTAGGGTCTACGGTTCAGGGTTTAGGGCTAAAGTCCTAGTATCCCCCGGCGGGATATTTCACGGTTTAGGGTTTAGGGTTTAGGGTTTGGGTAAATGGAACTGGAAATGGACAAGGACATGGAAATTGGGTTATATAAATGGAAACTACGGGGGCTATATAGGGATTATTACTGGGGGCTATATAGGGATGATTATAGGGATGAATATTTCCTTTAAACAGGCACAGCTTCCACTATGCACGCGGGAATCGGATAGTGGCTGGCTCTATCCTCCTGCTTCCCAAGCCTGGTGCATGGTATAAAACCATGCAGAGCGCTTGTGCCCTGTGTTGGGGTCCCAGCGTGCTGTTCTCCAGCCTCCCCTTGTTATTGTTTCACAGATATCGACCTGGCTCCAAAACGCGGAGCCAATTTCCAGTTCCAAACGTGGAACACTGTCCGAAAGGACTTTGCCTGCAAACTGCTGTTGCGCAGATTCCACGCTCGCCATTTCCCTACACCACAGTTCCCAAGCATCACATGCGGACTAGGCTTTTCCCGGTTTTCTGCTTCCATGGTTTCGGCAGCCATGAGCTCAAACAAGTGGTGCGCTTGAGCCCCAAGTAGCGTCGCTTAACATGAGACTCTGGGTGCTCCTCCTTTGGATGGCTCAGGAAGCGGTTGCCTGGTTTCATGATCATGTTTTTCATCACCAGCGCTTCTTGTAATTGCAGACTGCGCAAAGACAGAGGTAACCTATACAACGCAATTTGCTGGTGGTCATACCATGGAATCTTTCTTTCAGTCCTTCTTTCAGCAATGCAGACCCCTAATCAACAAATCCCCCTCCCCTTACTAGGGATTACAATGAAGATCCTGGTGTTAAGGCCGTTAAAAGGAGGGGGTTTATTAATCATGGGTCCCCAATATATACCCAATAACCCCCATATAACCCATTATAGTAGTTTCCATTTTATTTTCCATTACCCCACTATAACCCCCACATAGCTGGATGAACCTTTGTCGCGTACACAGGAAGTCATGGCGCAGCTTCCCGAAGGGATGAGCTTGACTTTCAGCTGCACGTGTGTAGTGTGTGAAAGGAACCCATACACCTCAGAATTCTGGGATTACTCCCCATGACTTGCGCATCCAACATGGGAAATTCATCGTTCATATCTGGCAATGGGGAAGGTTGTGATGCATTTCCTGAGCAGAAAGGATAGGATGATATGTGGCATTCGTAATATACTTTGCCACAATGAGCCGTGTGGAAAGGAACTACTACAACAGCTTGCCCGCGACGAAGATGCTCATTTGGGGAGCCGACACCGCCCAGGGTCTAGAAATGTCAAGAGCATGCGCCCCAGCTGCCTCTTTTTGAAGATGGGCTTGATCCCCTGCCCCTAATATTGAACCCCTCCCACCCCCTATAATTCAACACTCCCAAAATGTGGTATATTTTGGTATATTGGAAGTGTGTAATTTTGGGGGTCTGAGGGCGGTGCAATATGAGGGGAGGGGCTTCTACCCTAAGCTGCAAGACGGGTGACTGTAAGTACGTTCACACGGGAGCCATAGCTTGACGACAGCATTCTTCATATTTGTACTACTATTACTATCCTATTGCTCTTATAACAACTA